AAAATAAACGCAAACCTAAACGAAAAAAAAACAACGAAAGCACAAACACAAACGTAACGCCAAACAAAAATGCAAATACGAAAATAAACACAAACACCAACACTAACGGAAACATAAAGACAAACACAACGAAAACATAAACATAAACATAAGTACAATCGCCAACACAAACGCAAGCGCAAATGCCAACACAAACACAAACACAAAATCAAACACAAACATAAACCTAAACGCAAACAGTAACCAGGAATATAAGACAAACTTAAATGTTAACATAAAAGCATAGTGCTCAAAGTATAGCCCAGGGCGCCAAACATCACCCTGCCGGGGCAACGGCTGATCCACCTGATTCAACTTGGTAAACAACTAAATTACTCCATCTTATCCGTAAGCTATCAAACAGTTCAAACCGAATGTCGGTGCCATAGCAATCACGGGAATTCCCGGAGAGCTAGAGGATGACCAGTTTCGAATTAAATAATGGCCATTGTAACCCTTCTTATACATTGTCTATCGCACAGTTTAAAACAAACTTAGGCACCATAGAGCTCAAGAGAATGCCCGGGGCGCTAAATTGCACCCTGTCGGGACGCCAAACTGATGTTCTGCATTTGATTTGTAGTGCAACTATAGTAACACTTTTTATTCACAGCCTATCGCACTCTTTAATATAAACATTTGCACCATAGCGCTTACAAGATAACACAGGGCGGCAAATCGAACATAGCCGGGGCACCGGCGGACACGCCTGATTCAATTTAGTGAACAACTTTAATACCACTAGCTTGTCCGCAAACATAGAGGACATTTAGTAGCGGCTTCTTAACTGTTATTGATTAAAAATAATTAGTAAACAGTGCAGTGCGTTCTGTGTATAAAATAAATTAAAGTCAGTATTTACAATATCCGTGCTTTACCTACCAAATTACACTTGATCAATCAACGCAAATTATTTACATTTTTTAACATCAAGACAAAATAATAAAAAGTATCCCCCCCCCACCCCCGATATAATATTTTTTCATAAAGATAAGTAAAAAACTTTTGTGATCAATGAAGGCAAGTAATTAAAAATAACACTTAAATTTTTTTTTTTGAAAGATGATTCAAATTCTTTGACTTTATTTTTTCCACATGACTTTATTTAAAATTATACGTTTAGGAAATGAAACTTGTTTTACAAAACCTCATATTATAATAATTTTTCTAATCATTATTTTAGATAATAAACACTTTAGGCACCGTGCTCTGTCCGCTTTACGCCTCATACAGAGCCACATAAACCATTTGAGCTATATGTATGTATATATATATATATATATATATATATATATATATATATATATATATATATATATATATATATATATATATATATACATATATATATATACAATGCAAAAACAAACACAAACGAAAACACAAACGCAACACACACACACAAACACAAAAGAAAAAACAAACGTAAATAGAAACACAAATAAAAGCACAAACACAATGCAAACACACAAGCAAACTCACTGTTTATGGTTAAAGTTAGAGTTGGATTTATGGGTTATGTCTGTATTTGACAAACATCCATGCCTGGTATAGAGTCCTTGATATGACGTTACGGATCCACATTCAAAATGACAATCTGTGCTGTAAAAGGCTGTGATACAAGAAGTTGCAGATCTAAAGGAATTCGTTTACTTCGACAGCCAAGAGTTATATGAAACTAAGGTGATAGAGATCGACAATTAACAGAACGTAGACGCTGTCAATTGTTAGCCAATATTTATCAAAGTGGCGTGAGTGAAGCAGCGGCAAATCAAATGCGAATATGTTCTCGACACTTTGCTTTTGTTAGGGACAGTAAACAATAAACTTCGTTTTAATTAACACAAGACTTCTGTTAATAAAACAAATACGCTTGACATTCACCTACGTCAAAAAATATAATAACATTTAATTGGAATATTTATTTAATATTAAGATATAAAATCTAGCTCAAAATCTAATCATGTTGTCCACGAAACTGGCTACGCTAGGTAGACACAGAATCTAAAATCTACTTATTCAATTAAATTAAACTACAAGAAAAATTAAATTTAATTAAAAAAAAACATTGAGATCTATATTCGATTCAAAATAATTCAATAATTAATAAAAACAAATAGACATAATAATAAAAAAAAATATAATTGTCTCAAATATCTAGAATCTAGCTGTAGATTCTAATTATTTTAGTTAGCAAACAAAATTATCTGAAATTGAAATAGATTGTGTGACGAGACTTAAACCTAGAATCCGCTCCTTGAATTTAATTTTAATAGTTGTTACTATTTTTGTTTTAAAAGGCTTTAATAAATTAATTAGTCCTACCTAATATGTGTCTAATAATATGTATCTGATACTGGATTGAGGTTAGTTAAATTTAGAAGCAGATTAGTCATACTGATTTCACCATTGTTTCCGTGCTGCGCCTTTAGGGCAATAAATTACATTAGAGATGTTATCTCTTGTCGGCTGAGATCTAAGAGCAGCAATCTATGTTACCTACAAAGAGATGGAGTTTTATGGTGAGGGCTTGGTATTATGTAGGTAAAAAAATTTGAGGGGGTAGCAATTGTATGTGTCTGATAACTTCCCTGCTTAACCAAGATTGACATAAATTACATAACATGCTACACAAATGGGTTGAGATCTAAGAACATCAGTTGTTGTTACTTCAGAAGTAGATTATTTATTGAGGTTTTTGTAGGGGCTAAGTGGTCTAACGTTAGATACTGTAGTGTATATATATATATATATATATATATATATATATATATATATATATATATATATATATATATATATATATATATATATATATATATACACTATATTTTCATGCATTAGTGTGGGTAGACGACCAATTAGAACTTGAGATCGAGCATATAATAAAAAACCACTAATACCGCTAACAAGTTGCATCAGTCATAACTGATGTTTATAACACTTCAAATAATTTTTTTCCTACATGTTAAAGAAAAAAATCCTATTGATTTGTATCACTATAGCGATGACGCAATCTGCATTATTGTTTCAGGATGCTAATTGGCGGTATGGGTTATCCTGTGAGCACTATTGCACATATGTTAGTATTGAGAAGCCATGTGCCGTACGCGGTGAGCCTGCGGTAGTGTAATAGGGGGCTTTTTGATAACTCTGATATTACTAATGATACGTTGTACATGTTTTTAGTATGCACCAATCCCTATTTCGACCAAGGATGTGCCTCTAAGTTCCAGCGTAAGTGCCAACCCGAGGCCTGTAACAATGTCGAGAGCTCATGCGTCGAGTGCTTCTCATCACGAGCGTTTTGCTACAAAGGTAACGTATAGGATCCACACATTTTGATCCGTGGGTTCAATTGTAAAACCAGAAATAGCAATCTCTTCATCTATCTATAAAGCTATGTATGTGTATCTCTGTGTGTGTGTGTGTGTCTTTTATACATTACTACACCTTATTTTTATGAAACTTTCGGAAGTTTTTTAGAATATTCCTGGGGAGGTGTTTGCGAGAATTAAATTCAAAAAGTCGCAGTGGTGACCCCGGCAGTGCGATATTCAATTATTCTATAAACATGGTATATAAAATTAAAGTCGTTTGCGGTTTGACACCAATCATCCAACCGCCTTGAAACTTTGGGGAGTAGATGAAAACACTAAAGGTGAGGATTCCTTTAAAAAAAAACGTTTTTAATTTCGCAAGGGTGCGATTTTTCTCTATATACAGTATTAAAAATACAAATAGGATGCGGTTTGACACCGTTCATCCGAATGCCATGAAACTTTGGATACTTGATGAGAATACTCTCGAGACGTTTTCTGTGAAAGAGGAAGGGTCTTTTGTCAATACACGGTTTGGCGCCCAGAGTTCTTAATCGGCTATCTTAGCACTTGATGTCCGTTATCATAGCGTGTAGGAAGACTACTATATTCAGCGTTAATACTTCAACCCTATTGTGAGAAATGAGGACCTACGTTCGTTTAAAAAAGGGCTATACACTAAGGACATTGTGTCTTTATCAATAACAATAATCGTTGACTTTATCGAATCAGGCGCGTCCTCGCAGGGGGGTGATATGGTGCCACAAGATTACCCGAGAGCACTATGGCGCGTACGTTCTTTTTCAAAAGCACGATCGGATATGGATACGTTAGGGCTTTATAGTCGTTTAATAAATTTAACCAGTCGAGTTTGCACTTGCCCCTGCAGGGCGCAATTTGATGCCCAATGGTATCCCGTGAGCGATATTTCAATAAGCTATTAGGCTCTCTGGGTTATCTTGTGAGCATCAGGGCGCTATAGTAAATTTAAACAGCCAGTGACCGTACGCGGACCCCCTGAGGTAGTGTAACCTGGGCGATCACCACAGTGTGTTCTACCTCACCATGATTTCATGCGGTAGGTAAACAAGTGCCCCGATATATATATATATATATATATATATATATATATATATATATATATATATATATATATATATATATATATATATATATATATATATATATATATATATAATATAGGCGCAGGCATTGTTAACATTTAAATTTAAACTCAGTATTAGAAACAAAAAGCTCACACGTCTAATAATACATGATTGGTAACGCATTGATAGAACGCTTCTTACATATATCATCAGATTTTCTTCTATCCCGAAGAGCACGCTAGTACTAGTAAATAGAAGGTAAACAATAAAAACAGACAGTACTATTGGTATGGAAAATATCTATATATATAATTCTCTTCACGGAGACTATAATCACCACGCAGCTTAGCCACCACCCTCATCCCAACCTGTCAGGTGAGCTGTGGTTCACCCCGAATGTTTACAATCGTATAGTCGGGTTAGGAGCAGATAATTTGGAATTAACCGATTTGAAACGAAGCGGAGGTAACAATTTCTGATTGATCTTTTAGCCATACTTTTAGACTGTCTCAAGATTGTTGAAACCTATTTATAGACTGCGAACATGGAACCTACGGCCAGGATTGTGACTTGAAATGCAGCGTCAAATGTGAGAATCAGACCTGTCACAGCATCACAGGCAGGTGTTTGAGTTGTCCCCCTGGATGGCGGGGAGACTACTGTGAGCAGGGTAAAACTTTTTTTTTTTATGAATCTATTTCTAAACTTTGAGGATATTTGAAACACAAGTTAAGAATTTTTTAAAACAATGTAGCTCTGATATTAGCCGTCGCGTAGATATATATATATATATATATATATATATATATATATATATATATATATATATATATATATATATTTATTTATTTATTTATATATATATATATATTATATGTGTGTGTGTGTTTTCTACACGTAAAGCATTCGGTATGTAAATTGCCTTGAGTATGTATAAACATACTTAAGAACTGTTTCGAAATTTGATAAACATATTTTTTTGACTTTCTCAAAATGTGTTTAAACATACTCAATCTCAAGATTGTTGAAACCAATTTATAGAATGCGAAAAAGGAACCTACGGCCAGGAATGTGCCTTCAACTGCAGCGTCAAATGTGAGAATCAGACCTGTGACAGCATCACAGGCCGGTGTTTATGTTGTCCGCCTGGATGGCGGGGAGACTGCTGTGAGCAGGGTAAATTATTTTTTGTGTATTTCATACAAGTGAACATTTTATTCTCTAACTTAACTGATATCATGGTTTTGATACGTATGCCGTCATTAGGTTTCGTTTCAGTATTACCAGTATTATTATTAGTATGTTTTAATATAGCGGTTTGATACCAAAATATTATTACACTCATCAAGGTAAAAATATAGCATATTAACTGTCTCGAGACTAGCTAAAACATTTTTCTGACTCTATCAAAATATATTTAATCATTTTTAGACGGTCTTAAGATTACATAAATTGCCTTGAGTATGTATAAACAGACTTAAGAACTGTTTCGAAATTTGATAAACATATTTTTTTGACTTTCTCAAAATGTGTTTAAACATACTCAATCTCAAGATTGTTGAAACCTATTTATAGACTGCGAACATGGAACCTACGGCCAGGAATGTGCCTTCAACTGCAGCGTCAAATGTGAGAATCAGACCTGTGACAGCATCACAGGCCGGTGTTTGAGTTGTCCCCCTGGATGGCGGGGAGACTACTGTGAGCAGGGTAAATTATTTTTTGTGTATTTTATACAAGTGAACATTTTATTCTCTAACTTAACTGATATCATGGTTTTGATACGTATGCCGTCATTAGGTTTCGTTTCAGTATTACCAGTATTATTATTAGTATGTTTTAATATAGCGGTTTGATACCAAAATATTATTAAACTCATCAAGGTAAAAAAAGAGCATATTAAAGTGTTTAGACGGTCTCAAGACTATCTAAAAAATTTTTCTGACTCTATCAAAATATATTTAATCATTTTTAGACGGTTTTAAGATTACATAAATTGCCTTGAGTATGTTCTAAACAGACTTAAGAACTGTTTCGAAATTTGATAAACATATTTTTTTGACTTTCTCAAAATGTGTTTAATCATACTCAATCTCAAGATTGTTGAAACCTATTTATAGACTGCGAACATGGAACCTACGGCCAGGAATGTGCCTTCAACTGCAGCGTCAAATGTGATAATCAGACCTGTGACAGCATCACAGGCCGGTGTTTGAGATGTCCCCCTGGATGGCGGGGAGACTACTGTGAGCAGGGTAAATTATTTTTTGTGTATTTTATACAAGTGATGCATTTGTTATGTAGGCACTCTCAAGCCACATACAATTACATCATAGCGTATAGCTAGCCTTAAGCTACATCCGTATACAAGTAATAACATGATACAAACAGAATCACAGAAACTGTTTTCCTTTTAGCATATGCTCGGAGTCTTTATACGGATTTTACTGTAGAGTTTTAAATAAAAAAAAATTGTCTTTGTTTTTCATTTTAGCTAATTTTAAAATGTAGTCGTTTTGATCGATCTGAAACTCTCGCGCCTATCATTTAGCCGATTTAGCTGTTTGAATGTTTAGGTTTTGCCTCTGGTGCTTCAAGTGTGTCTCATCTAGTGATAGATGTTAACTATTTTTAAAATGGAAATTTCTTTTCCATCCCTCAAATTTAAAAAAAAAAGATTATTGGTTTTGGTTTAATTTTAATTTACTTGTTAACTTTAGTTTTTATTCTTCCTTTGTTTAGTTACTCATGCTCAAGATAAGCCTATCTATAGAGATCTCAGTGACACATATTTAGGGCAAAATAAAGAATGAGCTAAAGAGGATTTTTTTTAGATCTTACACCAGAAGAAAATCTGTAAAGATTTAAGTATTTAAATTAATTTATTGCAACTTAGTATTTAAATTAATTTATTGCAACTAAAGCATTTACACAGTAGGCCCTATATAGGCTACAGTTTCTATTTTAATAGAATTCATACTTTGAGTGTGGTTAAATAAACTAGTTTTTATATATAAGTTGGCAATTTAAATTTTATTTGTGAGCATATCCTATACAAAAGTTATATATATATATATATATATATATATATATATATATATATATATATATATATATATATATATATATATATATATATACATATATATAGCCGATTCATTTATCCATTTTATGAAAAAAATGAGCCAGATATAGAGAGCCAAAGTTCCATAACATTGTTTTAAAAACAGTCATCGTTTTTCAAAAAATTATTAATGTTTATATAGGGAAAATTTAACCCTTTTAGAACCACTTTAACCCTTTAACTAGAACCAATTTAACCCTTAAACTTCCACAGAGTGTATCGACACAATTTTCGGGCCCAACTGCAAACAACAATGCGACCCTGATTGTGTGCCCGAGTCTACTGAGATCAAACGCCTGTGTGACGCCATCTGCGGAGATAGTGTTTTAAGAAGCAAGATTCTAGCTGACCCAAATGCCGAGGGTGAGTGTGTGGTCGAGACACGCTTGCCAAGAGAAAGTTTGAACATCCAGAACAAGGAATCGATTTGTTTTCTAACATAGTTTTTGACAAATTTAATTATTAATTTATACATATTCCAATAAATGAAATTGGTTGTTGTTTTAACGGGTCTGCATTTTACAGGAGTAGATACAATACCTTGTACGTAGTGTTTCTTTCAATCGAACTTTTTTCATCGGGGGCGGCGTACTTGAAATTTTCGGAAGGGGGTGGGGCGGACTAAATGTTCCGGGGTTAAAGCATATATTTTCTATATGAATTTCATTTCAATTTGGGGGTGGGGGGGCAGTAGACTTTCTTCAGTCTCCCCAGTAATAGATGCCTGAAAGAAACTCTGCTTACATAACTAACATCACTATATTGGACCCGATGGTATTTTTATATGAGTATGTTATGTTCACTCGTGTATTTGTTACTTAATTTTTTATTTATGTATTGTGTTTCCATATGCATTTGTATATACATTCCTGTATGGTTCAAGAATGTATATACACCATGTTTAATACATGACACAATGTAAATAATTTACAGAAAACAAGGATGATACATATATACTGTATTTACTGATTGTGCTGTCCGCATTACTTATTGCAATCCTGGTCATCTTTATATTCATACGCAGGTTCGTAGCGCTCTGTAGAGTACTGATTTAACGTGTCAATTACTTGTTCTATTTCAATACATTTGCTATTGTGAACAGACTAAATAAGAGAAAATATTCGAGAGGTCTCGAGTTTGAAACCCGGACAGACGAGGCTTAACAGCTGGTGGGGGGGGGGGGGGGTCATACATAAATGACGTCAGACTTTTTTGACGATTTTTACCTCCCTCCCCCCTTCCCTCCGTCACACGTCGTCATATAATGCCAGACCCCCCTAAAATGACGTCACACAACCCCAATCAAAATTGCAGTTTCATTTTTTTCTAAACATCGATATTTTTCTAAAATCTTGTCTGAACTCTGTCAAAAAAGAGTATTTTAATCAATTCCTATTACAATAAATTAAAACAGTTTTTTAAAACTCGAAATAACGTCCAAAATTCGTTTTCTAACATTGCTTTTTTTTATAAAGCAAAAGTGTGACGTCACACCATCTGAACCCCCCCTCCCCCTCATCCCAAGCCGTCACGAAATTACGGACCCCCCCCCTCCCCCATACGAGTGTGACGTCATTTATGGACTACCCCTGAGTACTGCTACTCATCTGGGATAGGCACCTACAAAATCAAACAATTGCTGCCTTAAAGTTTGTTCTTGGTTGGACAAAAGCTATGGAATCAACCAAAAAGAAAACCACAAAAAAAAAAAAAATAAAAAAATCCAGGGTCATCGGCCTAAATAGCGCAGGACAAGTTGACACGAAATATTTAATAGAATTAAGAACGAAGCAAAAGAAATATATATATATATATATAGATTTCCTTATAAATATATTCTTAAAGACATTTCCTCCATTTGTCTAGAAAAATGAAAACAGTTAAGACTGAGGCTGTCCCAGGTAAATTCTATTCTGTTTCATTTTATTCTGTCTCTTGATTCTACCAATCTCATTCTTATTGTATTGTATACCTGGCTGCTTTTTATTGTTTTAAAGCATACATCCCCTCCCCACACACATAAACACACACACATAACCACAAACACACACACACACAAACACACACACACATACACTCACACGCACGAGCAACGGCTCACCTATAAGCATACATAAGCATTTGTTTAAGCACATATATAGGCATATACATATGTATATATATATATATATATATATATATATATATATATATATATATATATATATATATATATATATATATATATCTATAATATAAGCGGGCTGAGCGTGTGTCAGTCCTTCCTTCCTTCCTTCCTTCTGTCATCGCTATAGCTTTTGGAACCATAAAAGTAAACATTCGCACGATGCTGTGCTTTTCAGTGCACCGCAGTGTCTTATTATAAGTAGTAGAGTAGGGTTTGTTTATATAGCGGCATAGAGCTATTTTATAATTTCCACTGTGTTTACTCTTTTGCATAACTTAAAGAAAATATTAAATACATGCACATTGCTAAAACATATTAAAAGGATCAATGTCAAATATCATTTTCGTTTATATTCCTAGAAAAAGTGGATACATTTTAATAACACAATAACAGTGCGGTAGAAAAAATCAAATTAATTTAACTCTTTTCTAATTTGGACAAAGGAGGTAATTTAAAAATACATTAAACTCACGCTAATAAAAAATGTGAATGCAAATATACGTTCGTCATAGAAGGAATTAGTGTTGCAATAATATAATTAGCAAAATGTGAATGCAAATTATTCGGATTTATAAGAGGAAATTATTGTTAGAAAATTATAATTAGCATGGATTGATAAAAGGCAATCACGTTCATTAGGTTCGCAATGGTTTTAGTTATGAAACTCTATTGTAAATTTTTAAAATTATTAGTACTGGAAAAATTTTCGTAAAAGGATAAAGTGAAATATTGTAGGTAAAACACGGATATTTTAAATACTGCCTATTATTTATGCTGATTTCTAATTATTATTCTATCTTTCGGGTTTTATAGGAGAGGCGTAGCGAGGGGGCATATGTCCCCGAGTGCCGACCTTAGGGGGCGCCAAAGTGGGTTGGAAAAAATTAGCGAGGGGGGGGGGGGTGGTGGAAATCGAGAGTTTTAGGGCGGGGGGGGAGGGGTGCAAATCGAAAGTTTGAGGGGGGGTGCAAATCACCGGAAAGGGCGCAATTTGGCGCTACGGGCTAGACTGTGAGCAATATGCCTGTATGATTGCATTTAAATTGTGTCTATGTTATGAGTGTTGTGTTTGTTTTTTAGTTTGTTTTTTTTGCGTTCGTTTGTGTTGTGTTTAGTTTTGTTCTGTTCCCAAGTTGGTACATTTAAAAAAGATTTACCGTGGCGGAGCACGGGATGCAGCTAGTATATATATATATATATATATATGTGTGTGTGTGTGTGTGTGTATGTGTGCGTGTGCATGTGTTCTATTTGGGTTTTGTCTTTATTTCTAGAAAACTACCTTTGGATAAACTTCCGTCACCTATATATGCATTAATGTCGTGTATTAGTATTGTATGTTTTGTTTATTTCCGAACGAAACCACCAAAACAGATACGTCAGTACCCATCGCGAATCTAAAGGTCTACATACTGGGACACAACAAGGAATTCTTTCTCAACCAGTTCAAGGTAGTCACTAAAAAGTTTGAATAATTTTTTTCATTTTTCGTTCCTTTGAAATTTTATCGTGTGTTGACTTCAAGTATATTTTTAAAATTCTTAAAGACAGCTAATTTTTCAGTATTGATTTATATTATAACAGTATTTATATCCCACAGTCTATACCAACTGTGTATGATGGTGAAAAAGTTGAGAAAAAGTACACGGCTGGTACCTGTAAGTCGTTGGTTTCTTATTACATCGTCACTGTATTATGAATGAAATGTGTGTGAGAAAATAAGTTTATGTGTGTTAGTGGGTAAAGTATGAAGTTATCATGTGAATGTTGGAGACCGTAACTTAAGTCTAAGTGGGATATTAACCCTTGATTTACTGAATTAGTGTCTGAATTAATTTTTTTCTTAAAATAATAGATAATTATAACAAAATATTGTATACGCGTAACGAGTAAATCAGGGAATATATAAGTATTATAGTGCGTAACATAAGTATAGAAGGGTTTGACAAAAGTGACAAATAGTTCTAGAATAACGTGACGGAATGTTTGCCATCAGACCAATGTTCACTGTCCTATTAATTTAATTTTTTTATTTTTCTTAATTTCAAATTATTATTTTAAAATACGTTTAAAACATTAACAATCAAGAACTAACATCCCCATTATACATACATTTGTTCATATCTATTTGAACACCTTTTACACCATAAATGACCATTGGTCTACATCCCCAGATGACCATGCATGCATCCACGTCACACCGTGGCCCGAGAAAAAGCCTGTCAATTTGCTCAGCCTCTCATTTCTGGCGGTGAGGCGCGGATGTTTAATATGTATTGTTTTGTTTTTACTTTAGTTAAATCTTCCGTCTCTGGTGGGGTTCTTGTTGAATCGAGTAACTCAATCTTTCCAGAAATTTTTATTTCCAATGACAATGCAAGAGTATATAATTTCAAATCTAATTAGATATTACATCATTAATTATTTTAAATATATTTTAAATTTTTCTAGAGTCGGTAGCGAAGTTAGCTGTAACCACTTGGGAGAGGGGTGGGGGGGGGGGGGGAGACTGGTGTGATGTAATCGTGAGTTTACACACCTGAGACTTAGTGACCGACGTTAATGAGACAGGTGTGTCGTCTAGAGTTAAGAGCGCTCGCTAATTATCTGATCTTAAACTAAAACCTCTAATAAATACATGATATATAAAAATAAATAAAGGTATTCATTTAAACAGTTTCAAGTTACATTTATCTTTGCAATTTAATTTTTAATTGTTAAAAAGTAAAAAAAAAATGAGGTAAATACTTTTGTGAAATAAGGCTTTTAAAGTACTAAAAAGAGATTAATCGAAAATGTACTTGTTTAGATAATTTTTCAGCAAAACATGTTTTGACTACACACAATGAAAGTGATTTATTTTTTAGTATTTTTACTTGCTGTCATATAATTTTAAAATCAGTACGATTATCCATATTTTTGTATGTAATGACTTTTTTTCTTTATTTAAAAATGGCGCAGCTAAAATTTGTAAAGTAAATTTTATTGTGCATGTTCTTTAAATATCTCAAGATGTTTATAACTTGGTTTTCAATAATTGTTACAACAAGACGCTAATTCATACCGGCAACACAATGTAAAATCTATAACTTAACTCTCTCTTCCTATACATGAAAAATACTGTTTTTATCTTATTCACTTCGGCTAATACATATTTTGCACATTCATATTATAATACGTTTATACATCAATAATACTCAATTTGTTACTTTGCACATATTAATAAACTAGATTTTGGGTTGAAACATGAATATAAAAAAAAAACTGAATATTTCTTGTTTTGACTAACCATGTTGAATTATTCTATTTCTTTAAGTTGGCTAAAGAAGAAATAATAGTATCACAAGGTAATTTGTTAACGTTTTCATATATTCTCTAGTAAAATGTGTTAATGTTGAGTCTAGCTTGGATTACTAACTTTGTATACGTATACACATTTTTATCATTGAAAGAAGTTGAGCCTAAGGCAATGAAAGTAATTTAACTTGCTTTTGAAGGTCTTCGTGAAATAAAAACTATTTAACTTGTTTTCAATTTATGCTTGAGTAAGTAAAATTTATTACAATAACAACGTAACAGTATCTAATTGCCAATCTAATTAGACATTACATAGTTAAAAATTACTTTAAATATTACTATAGTCAGTAGCAAAATTTGTTATTACGAATATTTGCTTAGGTAAATAACATTCATTCATTTTTTTCACATCTTCTCGTAGGTCCGGTAGCTGCGACTGTGGTCGGCTTTCTCAATCTGCTATGGGACAAACAAGTTGTAAAAGTCGTCATGATTAGCACAGAGAAAATCGATGTAAGTTGCAAAAACACACAAACATCAGAGTACTGCTCCATTATCCAATTAAATAGATAATAATTCTGATTTTTCCCAATGTAAAATGTGTTTTGAAACATGTAAGATTGGTATGGAAAATGACAGCGGTTTTGTTTATATTTTTTGTTCGATAACTTGAATATTTCTAAGGTGAAAATACTTTATCAAAAAATCATTTTTTTTAGAATGAATACAGCTACTGGTCAATGAAAGATCAAAACATTGATTACTATAGAGTGAAGACGGTGAAAACAGAAGTTTTTCTAGATTATACTATTCGGACTTTGGAAATCACAAAAGTAAATTGTATTTTATTTCAAAAGTTTATTCTTTTTTAAAACGGTATAAAATTTAAACTATTATTTCAAAGGTCGAGAGTGTAGTCCCGCTCTAAAGTAGAACTAAAATAGTAGAAATAACAAATATTACGTCTGTGCGCATTGACAAAGTAAGATATAGATAGATATTTTGCTAAGCCTTTGAAGAAAAAAATAACGATATTTATTTTTGTTTAAACTTTAAAATTGTATTAAATGTAAAATTGCATGCTGTTATGTATCTGACAGTCACTAGTTCGGATAAAGTAGAGCTTACCCATTTCCATGACCAAGGTAGGCGTATATGAAGATAGCGTGGTCAGTGACATGAGCAGCTGAATTTGCTCTACCTGATGTAAGTGACGAACCTATCAAAGCTTAGTGGGCTATGGGGCGTGACACAGATTCGAACCCGGGATCCGAACTTGAGACGACCGACCACGTTGTCTCATATAAATTTACATGGTGATAACAAGCATACACGAGATAAACGTAAACTAATACTTACTTACTTACTTAATCCTCATCACTCCCTGTGGAGTATAGGGTAAACTAATAACAGCAACATAATTATAAGTACTACAACAAAGTCATACAAAAACAAAGCAATTATAATTAAACACCATATCGAAATTAAGGAAAGGATATTACAAAAACTCACATTAGCATAGGATGTGTTAGGTTTAATCGAATTTTCTGCCATCTATAAATATAATGCTTGTTTCTTTCTTCCCCAATAATAAGGACGACAACCCACCACGTCGTGTGACCCACTTCCAGTACACGGCCTGGCCGGAAGACGGGTCTGACCCGTGTATGTGGAGTTTGGTTGACTTTGAACACAAGGTCTTCATAAACACACTGGAAACTATCACACTGGTGCATTCTGGGTAAGCTTTGAAAGACATAAAAACGACATATTTTACAACATGTATTAACTGTGACTATATATATAAATATATATATATATATATATATATATATATATATATATATATATATATATATATATATATATATATATATATATATATATATATATATATATATATATATATATATATATATCATTTAAATAATACATTTTTACTTTCTCTTATTTACGAAGTATAGAGAAAGTCTTATAGTCGTGCAAAAAAAAAATCGAGATTTTTTCAAATCTCGACGGTTTACACCTCAATGATACGGAAAAACATAATTTTGCAATCTTGTCCGTATGTCTGTGTGTCTGTGTGTCTGTCTGTCTGTGTGTCCGTATGTAAACACGATCACTTGAGTACCGTTACAGCTAGGTTGATGAAATTTCAAATGTAAGTATTTTATCAAAATCGTAGATCCGTATCAACTTTTGAGCGATTTCCGATAACCGGAAGTGGTACTTTTCCTACTTTGAATTTTTCAAAACCCTATAACTTGAGTACTATTTCAGATTGATAAATGAAATTTCACATGTAAGTAAAAGATCTAATTCTCTACCTTCTGTAAAATTTTGAGTAATTTCCGTTGACAGGAAGTAGTAATTAACGCTACTTCAGATTTCTCAAAAAACTAATGTAAATTTTAAAAGTACTAATAATATTGCGCACTATTATGCGCTTTTTTAATTTGGCGTTTACTTTGTGTGCAATTAATTTGTCTACGAGATTTTATTCTATTTTTAAAACGTTAAGTATTTAAAATGGATTAAAAATAATGACTATAGCCCGAGTTCCCGTCCCCTGTTATTTTGTACGAGCCGACCCGCTGCGTATCATACGCCGCTATTTAGTTGTTTTTTTTTCTACTTTTCAGTAATTTATAATTTGTGAATTCGACAGTACCAATGCTGCCACTGAAAATATTTGCTTAAAAACACTAAACCTCCATTCCCCCCCCCCCCCCACGTGAAAGCAGCCTCCTCTTAGTTACCTCCTCTAAGTTTAAAATCGTTTCAACCTAAATTATCTGCCCCTAATAGCCGTCACCAAACCCGTCTCTATGATTGTAAAATGTAAACAGCGTGAACCACAGCTCACCAGACCATGTGAGGGGGTGGGGGTGGTAGCGATAGAGAGGAAGAGAGCTTGTTTTCTAACGGCTCCCTGAAAAGAATTATATATATATAGATAAGAATATTTCAGAAAGTTTAGGGGATATCACTCCCAGTTTATTTTGTTAGTAAAGTAGTTAATATGGTGGTTATATTTGATATACATTTTCTCGATTTAGTATTTATAGTACACATACATTCTATAAACTATTTTAGACAAATATAGCATTTAATACAGAGATAACAGAAGCGAGTCTGTACTTTATCAACTACTTCTGCCATTGTATATAGGCACCACATTTGACACATTATTTCCCGTGTGTACCTAACAGGACGGATACAACGAGAAGCTCCTTGTTTATAGCACTACACGATTTGATCCGTCAAGCCAAGCTGAACCAAGCCGTGGACTTTGTCGACACGGTCTCCAGACTCAGACACGACATGCCCAACACGGTTCAAACCTTTGTAAGTTCGACGCTCTACAACTCTGTTTTAAAAATATTCTAGTTTTAACTTTAGACTAGACTACCCGTCATCCGTTGGATAACTGCGGGTTTCGTGGGTAATCCATCAAAAAACATCACGTCTGTCACTCAGAGGCATGGCGACCCTTCCCGGCACCCGGGGACAAACTTTTCAATTTGAACCCCCCACCCCGCAAGATTTCGATTTGCAACCCCCCCCCCCCTAAACTTTTGATGTGCACCCCCCCCCTCAAGATTTTGATTTGAACCCCCCCCCCCACCCAAACTTTCGATTTGCACCCCCTCAACCTTTCAATTTATTTTTCCAACCCATTTTGGCGCCCCCTAAGGTCGGCGCCCGGGGACATATGTCCCCCCCACCCCCCCCCCCCCTCCTCGCTACGCTACTGCAGTGTCACTTATCGTCTCAAAAAACAGACCCCACATTCAAAAATATGTTTTTTATCTTTTAAAAACAACGAAAACACCGATTTCGGACTATCCTTTCCTATACTGACGTCACAGGTGACCTACTCAACTCTACTTCACCTGCCCAGTGTCCCGCCAAGTCTCAGACAACATGTTTTTATCGTTTAAAAAACGATTCCAGCCGAGCATGTCTCTGACCACACTATCTTTTCATATGCTTAGGACAAAGAAACAGATGGAACTCCACTTCACCTGCCCTGTATCCTGCCAAGTTCAGATAGGCAACTTTATCATTTACATTAAAAAAAAAAATGAAAAAAAAAATATCATTGACATATTGGTCTAGAACCTGTGCCATCCGCATGAGTGTCGACTACACTACCAACTTAGCTATTTACTCGTGCCGTCACAAGTGAATTTTTATACTATATTTTAAGTCTCCTTTTGCAACTTATTTACGCTCATAGATCTAGATCTAAGTCTAGTAGTAGTAACTTTCAAATTAAATTTTATCTTAAATTAGCCAAACAAAGATTTATATAAAATAAAGAAGGTCTCGTTTGCTTAAGTCTTAAGTTTAGTTTTTCTTGCTAGATCTAGAATCTAGATCTAGATCTAATCATTAGCTACGCGAATAGGCCCGGAGCGAGCATTTCAAAATTACCATATTCCAAACAAAGATTTATATAAAATAATAAAGGTCTAAAATAGTTTAGTATACAGAAAATCATTATTTTCTAAGTCTAGATAGAAAATTATCTATATTTTAGATCTACGACTGAGCTATATTTAGAATTTACGTTTATAATTTAGCAAAATTACCGGTATCGAAGCCGCGTATGAATCTTAAGCTACGCAAATAGGCCCTGGAATCAGCATTTCAAAATTTGCATAGTCGAAACAAAGATTTATACAAAATAATAAAGGTCTAAAATAGTTTAGTATATAGAAACTCATTATTATCTAAATCTAGATAGAATTATCTTTATTCTAGATCTACGACTGGTTTGCTTAAGTCTCGTTTTTTTTGGATTGTATTTATAACTAATAAATGTTTGATTTGACCTAGATTCTAAATTCTAGATCTAGATCTATAAATAACTTTCTTGGACAGATTGTAGATCTAGAGAAATTTATCGTAAAACTAAATGAAAAAGACAGTTGAAAATTGATATAAGTGTTGGAACGTAATAAATACAGCAAACGGACGTATTGTTAAAGTTATGACCGACAGAAAATTAGATTTAGAACGCGTTAAACTTTTGAATGGGAACATAATTTTCTTCGATAGACGCCGCCATTTTATTGTACTAAAGAGTAAACAAAAAACTGTGACGTCACGGTCCCGCCGAGTGTAGTGGTCTTTCTGATCTTTTTAAAAAAATAGGGTTACTCTACCTATGAATAAATCAATAAATTAATTAACGTCTTTAAATAAAGGTGTGATTAACAGTCTGACTTAAAACAAAAATAATTCTCAACCTACATACTATTTTACAGCTCTCCACGATGAGTGCAACCATGTGCAATAGTCAATCAGCCAAACAAAAAAACAAACAAAAAAATAAATATTGAAACATGTAAACAAACTTGACTTTTAGTAGTATATAGATTATACACCAGAAATGTTTCTAATCATAATTAAAAGAAACCATTCTTTTTTACTTTCTCGTAAATACGAAGTATAGAGAAAGTCTTGTAATCGTGCAAAAAAAAAATCGAGATTTTTACAAATCTCGACGTTTTACACATCACTGATATGGAAAAACATAATTTTGCAATCTTGTCCGTATGTCTGTGTGTCTGTCTGTCTGTCTGTCTGTCTGTCTGTCTGTGTGTAAACACGATAACTTGAGTACCGTTACTGCTAGGTTAATGAAATTTTATATATAAGTATTTTATCAAAATCGTAGATTCGTATCAACTTTTGAGCGATTTCTGATAACCTGAAGTGGTACTTTTTCTACTTTGAATTTTTCAAAGCCTATAACTTGAGTACTATTTCAGATAGATAAATGAAATTTAACGTGTAAGTAAAAGATCTAATTCTCTACCTTCTGTCAAATATTGAGTAATTTCCGTTGACCGGAAGTACTAATTTACGCAATTTCCGATTTCTCAAAAAATGCATGTAAATTTATAAAGTACTAATAATATTGCGCACTATTATGCACATTTTGTTTGGCGTTCGCTTGGTGCGCAATTTTTTTTTCTATGAGATTCTTTTCTATTTTTAAAAGTTTAAGTAATTAAAAATCATGTCTATATTCCAAGTTATATAAGAATACTAGCCGTCCCGGCCAGGCCCTGCTCTGGCTTCTGTGAAAAACCTTTCTGTTAAAGACCATTACCTGTGTGTTTAGTTATCATCATAAACACGGCATTGCCCACCCAAACCACAACCAACCAAAACAACAAAACGCAAACATAACGCTAACACAATTACACATACAAACAAAAACAAAAACCTAACAACAAACCCAACCACAATCACAAACACCAATACAAACACAAAGAAAAAACAAACAAAAAAGCAAACGAAAACAAAAACCTAACAACAAATCCAACCACAGCCACAAACACCAATACGAACACAAAGAAAAAAACACAAACGAAAAAGCAAACGAAAACAAACCAAATCCAAACGCAAAACCAACCACAAACACAAATACAAACACAAACCCAAAGAAAAAAAACACAAACGAAAATGAAAAAGGAAAGAACAAAAACGAACCAAATCAAAACGCAACCACTAACGCAAAACCAACCTAAACACAAAGAAAACACTAACGCGAACATAAACGCAAAGTGCTCACAATCTAGCCGGGGCAGAATCGCCTGTTTCAGCTTAATAATCGACTATAGTACCCCAACTTATTCATAGTCTTTTGCACTCACTTAAACGAACGTAGGTGCCAAACCAAAGCAAATGAACAATTATAATACTACAAGCTTATTCGTAAAATACCTACAACATTTGCACTTGATCTATCCCCGCTAATTATGTAATTATTTTTTTTTCCCAACACCAAAACAAAGTAATAAAAAGTAAATTCTTTTCCACTAATGGAATGTTTTATAAAGGGAAGTAATTGTGTTTTCCTAATTTATCAAAGGGAAGTAAGTGCTAAAGGACTAAATATAAATAATTTTCAGACATAATTAGAATTTTTGTTATTTTTTTTAAAATTGTGTTTAATGAACATGCCGACAATTATTACTATCAGTTTGAAAAATTAAAATTATTTCCCAACACTTTCAATAGTAATTTTTTAACTGTTAAATTTAGACCATGAGATCGATAATAGTCTAACACTTAAATCCATAAAAGTATGTCAACGACAAACTTATTTTTACAAACAAATATACTGGATTCAGCTTTCTATATTAGATTCGAGAAAGTTTAGGGGAGATCACTCCCGGTTTATTTATTAACATGTTACAAGAAATGACATTTTTACTTTCTCGTATATTAGAAGTAGGCTATAGAGAAAGTCTTGTAATCGTGCAAAATAAAAATCGAGATTTTTACAAATCTTGACGTTTTACATCTCACTGATACGGAAAAACATAATTTTGCAATCTTGTCCGTATGTCTGTGTGTCTGTGTGTCTGTCTGTGTGTATGTGTAAACACGATAACTTGAGTACCGCAACAGCTAGGTTGATGAAATTTCATATATAAGTATTCTATGAAAATCGTAGATCCGTATCAACTTTTGAGCGATTTCCGATAACCGGAAGTGGTACTTTTGCTACTTTGAAATTGTCAAAAGCATATAACTTACGTACTATTTGAGATAGATAAACGAAATTTCACATGTAAGTTAAAAATTTAATTTTCTACCTTCTGTTAAATTTTGAGTCATTTCCGTTGACAGGAAGTAGTAATTTACGCTACTTCCGATTTCTAAAAAAACTAATGTAAATTTTTAAAATACTAATAATATTGCGCACTATTATGTACTTTTTTATTTGGCGTGAAATTCTTTTGTCTACGAGGTTTTTTTCTATTTTTTTAAACTTTAAGTATTTAAAATAGATTAAAAATCATGTCTATAGCCCGAGTTCCCATCCCCTGTTATTTTATATAAAAATATTCGAGAAAGTTTAGGGGAGATCACTCCCGGTTTATTGCACTTGCAATGTTTTCTCACTAGCTCTTTAGTATAAAAAAATAAAATAAAATAACGAACATTAAATGAAATATTTTAACAAATTGTCAAGATTTTTTCCTTCATCAAAAGATGTAAAATTATTTCTTGCATAAAATGTTTAAAACAAAAACGTAGCAAATTTATTCGCTAAATAAAGCATCAGATTTAGATTATTGTATAGCAAATTTTTAACTTGATATTAGATTCTAACTAATTCTAAATCAATATTAAACTACACTAATATTGTAATTGATAAAAAGAAAAAAGGAATTGATATTTTGGTTTCAAAATAACTCACACATGAGATGTTTTAGAATAGAGTCATCGAGTGAGCTAAAAAAAACATGTGTATATACGAGAAAAAGTGAGATATGAGTAGCCGGATTAACGGATTTAAATAAAAAAGAAAAACATACAACGGATCTAGTTAATAACACAACTCCTTTCTGAAACGCTCTACAGTTAATTTTTTTCAATTGGAATCAAACATTACAAATGCATTAGGTTTATTTATACAACGTTAAAAAAACAAGCATTCTAATTATCACCAAACAATTTGTCATTGTTTCACAACTCTTGTTTAGTTTGGAGGAAGTGTACAACTGTTTAGTAAAATATAAAAAAAAACTCCCAGTAAAAATTGAATTGTTATTAAGAATAATACTAGGACAATTGTTTAGATCACTGGATAATTTCTAACAGACGTTTTGTACTGTGTCATCACTGTCATCGATATTGTTGTATTCGCTGCATAGAGGAAGTGTTGGTAATATAAGTACACACTAGAAGATATGTGACACCAAAACTAAGTGGGGCAAACTAGGAGAGAGAGGAAGAGAGAGAGAGAGAAGGAGAGAGAGAGAGAAAAGGAGAGGGAGGAAGATAGAGATAGAGTGAGAGAGAGAGAGAGAGGGACAGAGGGAGGGAGAGAGAGAGACTTGTTACTTAACGAAACATGTGTCTTCCAGGAGAAGAACATGCTTCTTGACCAGGCCTCAGAGAGAAAGAGAGAGAGAGAGAGAGAGAGAGAGACTAGCTACTTGCATTTGTTTTCCAGGAGCAGTACATGTTCCTGCACCACGCCGCGCAGGCTGGCGTCGCCTGTACAGGCAGCTATACACACATCAGCGCCATATGTCTCAAACTACATCTCATGAGGAACCTCGTCGACGGGAAAAATAATTTTGAAAATGAATTCAATGTAAGTTTGTATTCAGTGGCTTTGCTTCTTCGTATTGTGATTGTAAATAAAAATATTTTGATGAAAACATCAATGCTCAATGAATAATTTTTTTTTTCGATTGCCAACACTCGGCAGCTCTTATTATGCGGGGGTATGGTTCCTTACAACTATATAATATGTTTAATAAATTATGTTTTCGACTATCAGATACAACCAGTATAGTGTGCCGGAATATCTCAAAGGAATACCATGCATTATCTTTTGTACCAGATTAGGTTGCCGAAACATAAATTAAAAAAGCATAGTTTGTAGTCATATCACTTAATAGACTCCATTTCCTCATCTACATTGGTTGCAGCCTCATTAGCCTCGGAATAGGTGCTTGGGTCAGCCAACCTAACCTTAATAAGAATTAGTTACACATTACCTACTGTGAAACATGTGCTTTTACAACATGATTTTTATTCAAGTAAATCACTATTAAATTGGTGTTCAATACCCATTATTTCAGAATCTGTTTAGTTTTGAGACACAACTTACTGGTGGTGTAGGGGACGTTACCCAAGATCCAAAAAGTAAAAATAGATTCTTCATTATACCAGGTAAGTGAATACCCATAGTAAAAATAGATTCCTCACTATACCAGGTAAGTGTATACCAACAGTAAAGATAGATTCAGAAATTCTATCAGGTAAGTGTGGAACATGAGTAAGATGGATTCACCAATCTAGAATCTAAGTATGTAAGAGGTGTAACACAACATTCGACATTGCACCAGGTAAGTGTGCAACGACATTAACTATAGTAAGTGTGAAAATAGATTTTATATTTTACTACTAAGTGTAAAGACAGATTCAACATTCTAATAGTTAAGTGTAAAAATAGGCTCAACATTCTATCACTCAGCGTAACGACTGATTAAACATTCTACATAGTAAGTGTAAATATAGAAACACCATTCTACTTGGTAAGAGTAAATTTTAGAATCGATATTCTACATGGTAAATGTAAATAAAGAATCGACATTCTACCTAGTAAGTGTAAATATAGAATCGACATTCTACCTAATAAAAAAAATATAGAATCGACATTCTACTTTCTACTTGGTCAGTGTAAGTATAGAATCGACGTAAACGCAAACGCAAACACAAGCGCAAACGCAAGCGAAAATGCAAACACAACCGTAACACAAACACAAACACAAACACAAAGACAAATGCAAATGCAAATGCAAATGCAAATGCAAATGCAAATGCAAATGCAAATGCAAATGCAAATGCAAATGCAAATGCAAATGCAAATGCAAATGCAAATGCAAATGCAAATGCAAATGCAAATGCAAATGCAAATGCAAATGCAAATGCAAATGCAAATGCAAATGCAAATGAAATTGCAAATGCAAATGCAAATGCAAATGCAAATGCAAATGCAAATGCAAATGCAAATTCAAAAGCACAAGCACAAGCACAAGCACCAGCACACGCACACGTTCACGCGCGTGCAAATGCACAAGCACAAGCACATGCACATGCACATGCACATGCACATGCACGTGCACGTGCACATACACGTACACGTACACGTACACGTACACGTACACGTACACGAACACGAACACGAACACGTACACGTACACGTACACGAACACGTACACGTACACGTACACGTACACGTACACGTACACGTACACGTACACGTACACGTACACGTACACGTACACGTACACGTACACGTACACGTACACGTACACGTACACGTACACAACACGTACACGTACACGTACACGTACACGTACACGTACACGTACACATACACATACACATACACATACGCATACGCATACGCATACGCATACGCATACGCATACCCATACCCATACGCATACACATACATATACACATACACATACACATACACATACACATACACATACACATACACATACACATACACATACACATACACATACACATACACATACACATACACATACACATACACATACACATACACATACACATACACATACACATACACATACACATACACATACACATACACATACACATACACATACACATACACATACACATACACATACACATACACATACACATACACATACACATACACATACACATACACATACACATACACATACACATACACATACACATACACATACACATACACATACACATACACATACACATACACATACACATACACATACACATACACATACACATACACATACACATACACATACACATACAGACACAAACGCAAACGCAAACACAAACACAAACGGAAACGCAAATATAAACACAAGCATAAACACAAAACAAAATGTAAACGCTATGGCAAACGCATCACTTAACCACAAACACAAACGCTAATGCAAACGCAACACGCAAACGCAAACGCAAACAAAAATGCAAACACAAAATAAAATATAACCGCTAACGCTTTATTAAATTGCTTAATCAAACAAACGGCCGTGTATTCCATTAATTATGTTCTTATTGTCGTGAGTTGAAATGAAGCTTGAGAAACGAAGAAAAAGTAGCTATACTGTTGACTGACGAACGGAAGTAGCGAAATGACACAAGCGGCTTATACTATAAATTATTTCTGATCAATTAACTAATCTATGTATTGTTTAGACAAAAAGTATCAACCTCTTTTACGAGTGGATTCCCCCGGAGAAGAGGGCTATATCAATGCTGTCACATTACCTGTAAGACTCTGTTTTTTCGCTTAGTTTTTAAATGTTTTTAATTGTATACAATCCTAATATATAAAAGCCCATTGCGCACTTGTCTCTCTCTCTCTCTGTTCGCAATATTTTTGAGGCTATATAATCAGTATGTTCAGCGATATATCGAGCACTTAACGATACGGACTTTTGTTGAAAATAATATAGTGGATGTTATAAATGTACAAACTAATTTTTATTTAAAGAAAGAAAATAAAAATTTAGCAATATACAATTGTAGAAACACATTATAAATTATGCAATCGGAAAAGTGTTTATGGTTGTGACAAGATTGACTTGTACTTGATTATTGGGCTATTAATGATTTGTTCTTGATTATTGAGCTAACAATAATTTATACTTGATTATTCGGCTATTATTGATTTGTATCCCATATAAAACCAGAGCCTGTACACCCAGACCAAACAGTTTCTGACCCAGCTGCCCATGCCCACTACGGTCAATGATTTCTGGAGACTGGTCACACAGTATAACGTCTCCTTGATTGTTGCTTTTAAATCCTATGAAAAGGACAAGGTAGGTGTATGTGTGTGTGTATGTGTGTGTGTATGTGTGTGTGTGTATGTGTGTGTGTGTGTGTGCTGCAGTAAACGTAATTTTTTTTAAATCCTACGGTCCATGGAACAAGAGAATGAGAGTAGACCAGTTGCAGTATGAAGCGATAATGTGGTTATTACTATGCCAAACCGCCTTTAGATTCCTTAACGTGAGACAGGTACCCATTAAAAGCTGAGTGGACTCAAACCAGGGATCCGAACTCGAGGCTCGAGTTATCAGTTAACAGCTCTACCATTTAACCGCTATCCTAATTGAGTGCTGTAGTGTAGTGTTTTATGCCAGGTTAAACATTAATAATAGAAGCTAATAATAGAAGCTAATAATAGAAGCAAATAATAGAAGCCAATAATAGAAGCTAGTAATAAAAGTTAATAATAGAAGCTATTAATAGAAGTTAATAATAGAAGCAAATAATAGAAGCTAATATTAGAAACTAATAATAGAAGCTAATAATAGAAGCTAAAAATAGAAGCTATTAATAGAAGCTAAAAATAGAAGCTAATAATAGAAGCTAATAATAGAAGCTAATAATAGAAGCGTTCTGTGTCGAATTCGGCTTGTGACCAGGGGTAAGAGCTTGGTTCAGATGTTTAAAAATATATCGAGCTGTATATAGGTACCCGACTCAAGCCAACCAAACATAAAATATGGTGAAAGGCTTACAAGTAACTGAAGAAGCCGAGACGGAATGTTGACTTGATGAGGTGGACTGGAAAAATCTGATGTTGTCACTTCTGCAGCGAGTGGTTTCTTGGCGGCCTAATATACAGTTTGTTATACCAAAATCTAAAGCACCCCAACCTTCAACGTGTAAATGTTGAAATAAAGTTAACAAAAAAAACATGTTTTTTTTTTCTCCAGTCCTTAGCTATCTACTTACCCGAAGAACAAGGCCAGCCGTTACAATGTGGGAACATAGCTGTCAATGTCGAGTCAGTAACAACAGCACCAACATGGACAGAAATGAAGCTTACCGTTAAGGTAATGTTGCACAATACACTGCTGACATCTTACACGTTGTTTGAGAACTATATAGCGTACGCTTTTCATCATATAAACGCGAAATATGCAATTAAGATGTTACACAAAAATACATATATATATATATATATATATATATATATATATATATATATATATATATATATATATATATATAAATATAAATATAAATATAAATATAAAATATAAATATATATATATATTTATATATATTATATATATTTATATTTATATTTATTATTTATATTATATATTTATATATATATATATATATAAATATCAAAAATATATAAATAATATAAAAAATATATAATATAATATATATATATATATATATAATAAATATAAATGTTGGTGTATATTAAAATGTCTACATAGTGTTTATGTTTGTGTTTCGGGATTTTTAAGTTTACTAGTATTAATATGCTGCTTTGAATTTTTCATTTTTCACCAATATTTTTTACAATGTAAGAAAGGACACTGTAGCTCGAACTTAATTTAAAAAAAAAATTCATAAAAAACGTTTTAATAACAAGCTTTTATGTAATGATGCACTAAAAAGTAGAAAATAAATTATAGACTACTATTTAAATAACTATAAAGAAAAGCGTGGGTCACTTTAGTATCTATTGGATACCTTTACTAATGTTAAGGAAGACACCCACGCTTTTCTTTATAGTTATTTAAATAGTAGTCTATAATTTATTTTCTACTTTTTAGTGCATCATAACATAAAAGCTTGTTATTAAAACGTTTTTTATGAATTTTTTTTCAGTACTTTACATGTTTTATCTACAATAGAGTTACATGACTAAAAACCATTGCGCGCCTACTGAATATCACGTTCAGTAGGCGCGCAATGGTTTTTGAACGCAGCCATTACGAGGTCGTGATGGCACAGCTATTGATGACGCGTGTGGTGTGGTTGGCTAGACATGCCTACTAATTCGGTCCAAATTTTAATTAATTCATAAAAAATCAATTTGGCACCCAATTAAGTCAAATTTAGTTTCAGATTGCATTGTCTTCATGTCTTGACCCACGTGCCAACTGTGAATCGTGTCGGTCAAGTAGAACTGTCCGAATTTTCACTCCTGCGTTTCCGTCTAGACTGACGACTGACGACAGACTGACGAGGAAGTGAGTTAAATAAAAGCTTGTAAAAAAAAAAAACATTTCTGTTCCTTTCTCTTAGGGGAAACAAACGCAAGAAGTGACTCATCTCACGTTTACAGAGCGTCATATCGAACCCAAAAATCTCCTGCCGTTTGTTCAATACGCGCGCACGTTGAGAACTCCGGATAAGTCAGTAGTTTACACGTGCAGGCAAGTGTGTTGGTTATGCGTTTTATTTATTTATAGCAACCATATGCGTAATTGTACATGCATGCATGTTTGAATTGTGTGTTGTCTTTGGTATTGAATATAAGCTTTAACTTACGCCCATCCACCACTAGCTAGACTAAATCTATAACATCAGATAGCATCGTCACCTTTAACCCCCCGACATACACAGTTCCATTAAAGTCACCAACGCAGTATATAGACCGATAGATCTTTAACTGAGACGTCGTGGTGGTGTGGTAGAGCGATCGGTCCGGACATTCCTGACTCTATCCAGGCTTGATGGGTACATGACTGGTGTTTCCGGACATTCCTGACTCTATCCAGGCTTGATGGGTACATGACTGGTGTTTCCGGACATTCCTGACTCTATCCAGGCTTGATGGGTACATGACTGGTGTTTCCGGACATTCCTGACTCTATCCAGGCTTGATGGGTACATGACTGGTGTTTCCGGACATTCCTGACTCTATCCAGGCTTGATGGGTACATGACTGGTGTTTCCGGACATTTCTGACTCTATCCAGGCTTGATATGTACATGACTGGTGTTTCCGGACATTTCTGACTCTATCCAGGCTTGATATGTACATGACTGGTGTTTCCGGACATTCCTGACTCTATCCAGGCTTGATGGGTACATGACTGGTGTTTCCGGACATTCCTGACTCTATCCAGGCTTGATGGGTACATGACTGGTGTTTCCGGACATTCCTGACTCTATCCAGGCTTGATGGGTACATGACTGGTGTTTCCGGACATTCCTGACTCTATCCAGGCTTGATGGGTACATGACTGGTGTTTCCGGACATTCCTGACTCTATCCAGGCTTGATGGGTACATGACTGGTGTTTCCGGACATTCCTGACTCTATCCAGGTTTGATGGGTACATGACTGGTGTTTCCGGACATTCCTGACTCTATCCAGGCTTGATGGGTACATGACTGGTGTTTCCGGACATTCCTGACTCTATCCAGGCTTGATGGGTACATGACTGGTGTTTCCGGACATTCCTGACTCTATCCAGGTTTGATGGGTACATGACTGGTGTTTCCGGACATTCCTGACTCTATCCAGGCTTGATGGGTACATGACTGGTGTTTCCGGACATTCCTGACTCTATCCAGGCTTGATGGGTACATGACTGGTGTTTCCGGACATTCCTGACTCTATCCAGGCTTGATAGGTACATGACTGGTGTTTCCAGACATTTCTGACTCTATCCAGGCTTGATGGGTACATGACTGGCGTTGGGGAAAGTAAAGGCGGATGGGGATAGTTTAGCCCCACATTCATATACCAGTGTAAAAAAGGTTATGAAATATACTCCCTTTTCCATATGGATCGTAGAACTTAAGCCTACTTAGTGTTGTATCTAGGATACGTAATACATGGTGTAGTTCCCCCCCCCCCCCCTCCATCCATCGCCATTCTTTTTACAACAACACCAACGTAAAAGTTTACATCTACGAGTCAAATAGAAATTAAGTAAAGTACAAAACTTACTTAACCATACTATTTTTAACTACTGTAGATAATTAGATATTTGCAGATATAACTGGAGAACTGCAGTAATATTTATAGATGACCATCTGAAGTAAACAAACTTAACTCAGACCTTTGAACTTTAACCTTATGTTTGTATTTTTAATTGTTTTTTCCAAGAAACGGTGCTGAACTGAGTGGACTGGCCTATGTTGTGACAACTCTGATGGGCAGACTGGACCAAGAGAACTATTTGACCGTTCCTGTTGTTGTTGCTAAAGTCAAATCCATCAGACCGCACGCCATTCCTACACTTGTAAGTCTAACCAATTATTTTCCTTATCTTACGTTGTCCAAGTACTTGTGTACATTCAATGTGTGCCAATCTACACTTTGCAAATGTTTTCGATTTTTTTTTTCTAATTTATGCAACACATACAAAAAAGCCTATGATATATATGTTCGTTGTTTACCTACAGCAACAGTATATACTTGTGTACGAGACAATGAAACTCTACACTGAAGCAGTGATCTCTACAGAGAGGCATCGTGCAGAGTACAGCTCAACTGTCTGATGTGTGTATGCCCTGAGTATCAACATTGGAAGTCATAGACTCTACTGTTACATATTCTGCATCGCATGTGTTTTATCATGCGCTTTCATTGAGTTTTGTTTTAATTTTTTTAAAATGCGTTACAACACTAATTTCAATTTGAACTCTTCTTTACAAATATTATTCGTATTATAATTTTCATACTTAAATATTTTTAAAAAATATGTTACAGTTTTCAAAGTATTCTATTAAACATAAATTTAAAAGTTGGAAATGAATTTATTTTTCTTTACACAGTGTTTTACTATCTTATTTTTAACATTTAATTAAATGTTTAAACTGGAAATGTGAAAATTGCAACTTAATTTTAATTTGTAATGAATAATGTGTTTGACATGGTTTAGTAGCGTATACAACGGTTATAAGTGCAGTTAATGTTAATCATTGTGGCCAACTTAGATCCACAGTACAATCATCGTATCCATCACAATTTTCATGTGCATGCCAGGTAAACTTTAGGATGTATTTAAATAATAAGACGTCTCCCATTTCATTATAAACAACCTATTGTTGCAGGCAACTACAAATAGTGTACATGGTGTTTTGTTAAGTTCTTACATAACATTAGCTAAAAAACAAATAAACATCACAAATCAAAATTAGAATACGGTATCTAATGAAACGGTATTACAGAAAAACAACTTTTGCTTTAAAAAAATGCAGTATTATTTTATAGTTTATCTTTCCTTGAGTAAAATGTTTTTATTTCTCTATTAACAATTGTGTCATGAGTTGTGTAATATTTTTTTCACGGCTTCATGTTGTACAGTAATTAGTTGTACGTATCACATGCTTCGTTAATGGAAGATAATTTTTTTCACACTTCTCTGTCATGGTCGGGGTGCCTATTTTGTAGATAAAAGGTCATTATTACTATGGTGAAATTAAAGTAACTTACGTCACCATAAGACCTTAAAATACATACGAAAATCTCCATATGAGAGAATCGGGATAAAGTTTGGTACTGTCCACACTGACAAAATAGGTCACAAGGGCATTAGAAAATGGCTGCCTCCGGTCATCAGGAGAAAAAAAGTATAATGTTGTTTGAAAAACGGAGGCAGTTGGTAAACCTAACAGGAAATCTTCACTGATTCATAAAACCGGTGTCAAATTATATTGACCAAACACATGAAAAAGGTGAAAGGTACAAAGGAATCGACTCTAACTCTATTAGTTGAACTGTGAAAGTGGGGATAAATAGACTGTCGACTCCCGCCTTTTGCCTTTACCCACAAGTTAGAAGTGATTCAGGCGGTGCTGCCATTCACTAACAGAATTGAAGCATTGATGCGTAACGGCAAACAACAGAAAACCACAGTCCAACTACCTAAAAGAACGTCCGACAAGGCGTCGGTCTGTGTTCACTTTTGGAACCAGACGGTCCATAGGGAAAGTGAAGTAGAGTTAACGTGTTTCTGTCACCTCGGCATATGAGTGGATAGTGTGGTTAGCCGCCTTTACTTTCCCTAACTCGAGTTAGGTACTCATTAGTGCTGGGTGAAATCATGAACGTTCTACCGACTTGAACTCCAAACAGTTGAGTTAGAAGTCTAGGTATTTATCGCTAGACCACGCTGTTGATGTAGCGTGAGGGTAAACAAGAAAAACAACTCACACGCTAAACATTCAAATGACATAACACAAAGTTTTTCGATTAAAACTTTAAAAAACCGTTTAGTATACAAAACGAGCATAACTGCAATTCTGTTAACATTTTAAATTATTTTATTTGTAAAATGTATTAGCATGAAATATAGTTATTAAGTAGACATGTGAAGATTCAGCTAAATCAATATTTTGGCTAACGAAAAACCAATAAACAACGTGATTTGAACTGTAGACCCTGCATTATAAAAGGCCTGATTAAAACACACCCAAGTTTGACCTTTGTTACTCATGTAGTGTGGAAATGAGCAGACCAAAATATATAAAATACGCTAAATTACCTAAAATAGGCTTTAAGCTGAAAAAAAGTGTTTTGTTAATATTACAACGAAATTAAATTATCTTTTCTGTAGACTATAGAATATATTGTAATGATTAAACATTTTTTTTACATTTTTTTTTACATCCAGTCATTTTCTTGAGTGAACAGTATTGCGTCCCTTGTCTATGTATACATCTCCATTACACAAGTTTTCAAATGTGTGTAAGAACACACATTTATTCAATTGTATTTTGCCTACACTCTAGTAAAGTTACTTTAAATTCCTTTACAGTCCGTCGTAAATTTTAATATCAAACATTGAATGTGTCCATTAAAAAACACTTTAGAAACAGAAAAAACAAACAATTTCCAATGTAGTACAGTATCGTAAAGGCATAGTACAGACCAAAACTAAATTAACTCATATATTTAAAATCTTGTTACATAAATGTAACAGGGACTTATATACAGAGCATGTTACACAGAAAAAGATCCAATTAAAACACATATGCATAAAAAACTCATATTACTAAGACTCACAGACCCATATAACACAGATCAATTAAATAGACCCAAGTTTAAACTATCTTAACTTGTTAATTCATTAGATCGCCTTTTCCACAAATATGGATGAACGCATTTAAAAAAAAAAGCCCTAAAAAACAATTTTTCGAATGTACGCTTGCCCGAACGCGACAAACGCCCGAATGGACACTTGACCAAATGCGACGAACACCCGAATGGACGCATGCGCAAATACGACATACGCCCGAATATCACTTGCCCGAATGCGAAATGATTGTATTTCTAGAACTCGTCGAGAGTTGGAACATCCGTTTGGTTGCGGCAAATTAAATTGTAAACAGTGGATCTCTTACAAGAAGTGATGTGAAGGGGAGGGAAGTTGGGTCCCTCACTTGTAGCCTCCCCTGATTGTGTTATCCAAAGACCGGTACTGCTAATGTGTACATAGTTGTAGCCCTTGACTGTGTTGTGTTATGGAATGATAGGTGTTCACGTGGAGACTGATAGTTGACGTGTGCTGTGTCGTGTGTATGTGTACGACAGTTGGTTGCGGAGTTTGGCAGTAGAGTTGACCTGTTTGCTGGGGATTGTTAAATATCTGGTTATTGTATTTTGTTTTATTTATCTTTTAAAATAAACTTGTTATTATAAAACTAAATTATTTTTATTAAGTATCTTGTATAGTTTTGTATGTCATATTATTGTTTGAAAACGGATCATTTAGTAAACCTAACAGGAGATCTTAACTGATTCATAAAGCCTGTGTCAAATTATATTGACCAAACACATGAAAAAGGTGAATGATACAAAGGAATCGACTCTAACTCTTTTAGTTGAACTGTAAAAGTGGTGATAAATAGACTGTCGACTCCCACCTTTTGCCTTCACAAGACAACCCACCCGATAAACTAAAAGTTGTGTAGGCGGTGAGCACAAAACACCCTTTACCCACAAGTTAGAAGTAACACATGTGGTACTGTCATTCACTAACAGAATGGAAGCATTGATGAGTAACGGCAAACAACAGAAAGCCACAGTCCAACTACCTACAAGAAAGTCTGACAAGGCGTATGTCTGTGTTCACTTTTGGAACCTGACGGTCCATAGGGAAAGTGAAGTAGAGTTAACGTGTTTCTGTGACCTCTGCATATGAGTGTGGTCAGCCGCATTTACTTTCCCTAACGTGAGTGAGATACTCATCAGAGCTTGCTGACCTGAACCCAGTTTGAACTCCAGACAATGGGGCAGGTGAAGTAGAGTTAACCTGTTTCTGTGACTCGGCATATGAAAGGGTAGTGTGGTCAGCACTATGCTCAGCCGCCCTACCTTTTCCTAATGTGAGTTATGAACCCATCAGAGCTGGGTGAACTCATGAACGTGTTATTGAATTGAACTCCAAACATTCTACATAGTCTATGTATCTACCGCTAGACCACGCCGTTGATGCTGTGTGGGCGAAAAAGCAAAACAACTCACACGCTAAACTTTCAATTGGAATAACACAACATTTTTCAATTAAAACTTAAAAACGTTTTAGTATACAAAATTCTGTACACATTCAATATTTTAAATGATTTTATTTGTTAAATGTATTAGCAAGTATGGTTGTTAAACTAAACAAAGTTTAAAATATGAGACTATTATCACGGTTACGCATTAAATATAATTATTAAGTAGACATGCGAAGATTCAGCTAAATCACTATTTCAGAGACAAAAAATACAAGGTTCAACAGGATTTGTACTGTAGACCCTACAAAATAAAAGGCCTGATTAAAATACACCCCCCGTTTGACCTAGTTACTCATGTAGTGAAAAGGAGCAGACCAAAATAAATAAAATACGCTAAATTAACTAAAGTAAGTTGTAAGATAAATAAACGTATTTAGTGAATATTACAACGAAAATGCATTCAGATTTTTTATGTAGACATGTTCAATCTCATTAAAACGTAAAAAATAAACCGGGAGTGATCTCCCCTAAACTTTCTCGAATATTCTAATATAACACTACGGGGGATGGCAACTCGGGATATAGACTTCTAGACATGATTTTTAATCCATTTTAAATACTCACATTTTTAAAAATAGAATATAATCTCGTAGAAAAAAGAAATGCACACCAAGTGAACGCTAAATAAAGATGTGCATAATAGTGCGCAATATTATTAGTACTTTATAAATTTACATGCGTTTTTTGAGAAATCGGAAATAGCGTAAATAAGTACTTCCGCTCAACGGAAATTACTCAAAATTTGACAGAAGGTAGAGAATTAGATCTTTTACTGACATATCAAATTACATTTATCTATCTTAAATAGAACTCAAGTTAAAGGCTTTTGAAACATTCATAGTAGTAAAAGTACCACTTCCATTTATCGGAAATCGCTCAAAAGTTGATACGGATCTACGATTTTGATAAAATACTTATATATGAAATTTCATCAACCTAGCTCTAACGGTACTCAAGTTCTCGTGTTTACACACGGACACACACACAGACACACA